ACCTGCACCATAGCTAGATATTCTGGGATCTGCATTTTAACACATAGGAGGTTCATGGATGGTGCTAGCTTGTCCAGTAAGCTGTGTGGGTGTCCTGGAATTTGCCCAGTCTCTGTCCAGTTCTGCTGTAAGTTTGTGCTCACTGTGGAGTCTGTAGGAAGCAGTTAGGCTTGCTTATGTGTACCTTGAGGATGTGAACCTGAGATGTCCACTGTGGTCCTGCTGGTCAACATTCACCACAGTGGACATGCCTAGTCTAAATGACATTGCCAAGTCAGTGGAAGGTGACGCAAGAGAACTTGTAACCCAGTAATGCCTTAGGTGTTTAAATTCTCTCACCTGCCTGAACTCAATGCCAGTTGAGCCAAAATTGCAAAATGTCTCTTCCCACTGTGAACACCAAAACAGTGTGATGTAGGCAGAAAATAAAAATCGGGGCTCCCCCCAAAAACTCCTAATACAGACAGCTCTCCACACCCTAAAATAGACAATTGTCCCTTAACTTTGATAACCAGATGTAAAGCAGGGTAGGGGTCCTGTCTTTTTCATGGAGTCTTTGGACAGCCACAGGTTTTCTCTTTCCTCTGTGAAGAGGTGCCCTACCCAAAATTATCTCCTGTAAGCACCTATTAATGCGGCAAAAAGGAGACCCATCCTGGTGCCCAGCATGCAGATGGATTGGAAAAAATCCAGGGTGACCCGGCTTTCTTCCAAGCATGCATGTGTTGCTTGGAAGATTATATGGGCTTCTTAAGTTTAATGGGTGAGCTCATGCATCAAGCTGGATGTGTTCTCCTTCCCTCTGTAGCCTCTCTCACATTCCTCAGCATCTGATGTGACTTTATGAGGCCACTGGGATTTTCACAGTCCTATCAGCAGGGTGGTAATTTGGCTCAAAGTCAATGTCCTTTCCGAAGATCTATCCGTTTGTTCACCCCCTCACATCTGAGCACTAGACGTAACAATTTGCTCTTGCTCTGAGGTTCTGAAATATGCATTTAATTTAGACTTAATGAGGAAATTATTGTGCAATAAACACACTTCAACTGACTTGCGAGACAGATCCAGGATTGCAAGGGGAGGAAAGCTACAGATTGCAATTAGAATGAGTTGCATAGGGCATTGGGGTGGCTTCAGCTTTCGTGGAACATGACAAGGCAGCCCTGGGATTGCTGAAGGGTAGCAGGTGATGACATGAGCAAAAGAGAGAGAGGTAAATATAAAGGCAGCGGGGGGGGGGTCATGTATGGCTCTCATGAGCAGCCAACTATAAAAGCCGGTGGAAAACCAGCAAGCAGGATTTGAGCACAAGAGCACTCTCCCTTCCTGTGGTTTCCAGCAACTGGTATTCAGAAGTGTTGCTGCCTCCAAAGGCCAGGCAGGAGGTTCCCCTCCAAAAGCAATTCCTACTCTGCTTCTCCTCTCCCCAAGAGCACCTAGCAATGCCCACACCATGAATAGCCTGGTCTCTACTTTTCCCCCATATGCCAAGCTTGCTCACATGATTGTCTCCTCCTCTGCACCACACCACTTGAGATCTGTTTGTAGGGAAGGCTGGGTGTGACCAATTGACCACTTCTTCAAGAGTGGCAGCAGTACATCTATCACCTTCTCTTATCATTTACACTATATTCTTCCGACTCATGGCAAACCATTTTGAAGAGACTGACCACTTGCAAGGGCACCTACCTAGTCAGCAATTGCAATCATTGCAGTGTTGGAAGATTCAGGGTGGATAAAATAAAGTACTTCTTTACACAGTGTATAGCTATACTATGGAACTCTCTCCCACAGAAGGCAGTGGTGGCCACCAACCTGGGTGGCTTTAGAAGAGGATTGGACCAAGTCATTGGGGAGAGGGCTATTGATGGGTACTAGCCAGGTTGGCTGTGCTCTGCCTCAACAGTTGGAGGCAGCGATGCTTTTGAATAGTGCAGGAGGGTATATTGCTCTTGTGCTTGAACCCTACATGCTTTTTTTCATCAATGATCTCTGATTGGCCACCATCAGAACAGGAAGGTGAACCTGATGGGACATTGTCTTGATGCAGCAGGTCCTTCTTAGGTTCTTAAGATACCTGCATTGTGGCATAGCATGGGTTGCCAGCTCCCAGGATGGGGCAAGAGTTGCGTTCCCCTGGTGGACTGGGCAGCTGGGGATGCATGCTGGGAGCTTGGGAGGTACATGGCTGCTGGCTCTGCCACTGCTGGTGGCTGTGCGACTTCTTGGCTTGGCAACTCCACCAGCCCAGGAACAGGGTGTGTAGATGTTCCTTCACCAGCCATGAGAAGAAGTAGGCATTGCTCCAGCACTGAATGCCCAGCCCAGGTACTGCTTGCCTCCCCTCAGCTCCAGAAGGTGGCAGGAGCTCAGCCACGCAGCCTTGACGAGGGAGTGTGTCGTGGGGCTGGCTGGTTGCGCCCCTCTCAGAATTTTGCACCCAGAGCCACTGCCCCTCTGCCCCCGCATGCTACACCACTGCACTTGCATGCTCTGTGCCACTTCCTGGTATTCACAAAGAAGAATAGGGGTTCTCCTACCTATTGGTTTCTCCCCACATTGTCAGATCCCTGTTCTGTCTAGCAACCCATCTTGCTGCTTGAGACCCTGCGACATTTTGAAACCTGACATCTGATGAGACAGTGCTCCTGTATGTTCTGTGAGAAATGAGGTTCATACTCTCCAAACATCCTGGACCAGGACAGCAATCCAGACATTTGGGCAAGCCACAGGCAATTGGCCCTTGAGTCTATCTCCAAAGACGCTCTACACTCATAAGGAGAAATAAAAAACCTACCCACCCTACAGTGAGCGTCAGCAGCTCAGTAATATGCAGAAGCCTGTAGGTGGGTCCCCCCCCCCCCAGGGAAGTCCTGGCAATCCACGGAGTGAACCCAGAGGCCAGGCTGAGAACTCGTCTCCTTTACTTACGCAGCCGGAGCAGCAGAAGTGAGTTCAAAGCTGCTCTGCAAATAAACTCTAATCGTTTTTCCTCCTTGTGTTTATGTGATTAGGGGGTTCGTTTGACTGGCATTATGATGATAAATGGCAAACTCATTGCATCATTACATCGGGCGCTAATGCGTAGTAGGAAGGATTTCTACTCATTAAAGGGAAGGCAGCCAGGCAAGCAGGCATGGGGTTTGGGCCAGCACTCAGTAAGATGTGCAGGCAGCTGCCTTGCCTTTGTGGGAGCGTTTCTCTCTGCAAGGATTTTGACTCTGCCTTGCTTGGTTCTCCCCATTCTAGTTTTCCTAAGAAAAAGCATATAATAAGGATGTCTGTGATTCTGTGAGCGTTGCACAGGGCTGCAGGGAGTGCAGCTGAAGATAATTGATCTATGCCTGGATGGGGATGTTCCTGAGAATCCTACCAGCACAGCTGGGATCTAAATGGGGACATGTGGAAACTTCAGCCAGTGGACCAAATGTGACCCTCCAAACTTCTCCTTGTCCAGCTCAAAGGTGTCTCATGCCTGGGTTGGGATGTTCTTGAAGCAGGTTAATGATTTTTGCTTTCCTAGATCAGGGATGGAGAGATGTAGGAGCCCCTGATTTCTGTATGGCTGGAATGCAGAGGTATGGGTCATGTCTGTTGTTCTTTTCACTCTTGCCTCTGGCCCCACTCACCTCCAGCATGAAACTCCCAGAAGCCCCACCAAAGTCATCTGCTCTAAATGCAACGAATAAACGCGCTCTCTTCTCCCTCTCTCTCTCTTGTGAGAAAGTAGTCTTGTAGGAAACTTGCATGGAACTTTGTGGGGGGGGGGATTTGGAAAATTCCCACCCAGCTGTGAAGCTCACCTGGGGCCTGTCACTGCTTTTCAGCCTAACCTACCTCACAGGGGTTGTTGTGGGGATTAATTGAGGAGGGGGCCACCTTGAGCTCCGTGGAGAGGAAGAAGGGAATAGCAATCAATGCAATAAAAAAATAATAACCCCCCCCCCCCGCTAATTTGAAAGCCATACAGCCCAGCATTCCGCAGCCTACTTCTTTATAATATGTCAAAGGCTTCTCAATCTGACACTTTTGACAGAAACTGTGGGCAACCTTTGTCAGCGAGTCCTCAGCAAAGCCTTTGCAAGCCAGAGGAGGAGTCCCACAGTACTATTATTTCATTTTATTTTGGGGTAGGTTTAGAGATGTGGAGCAAATTGAGTTCATGGGGGGTCATTGTCACTTCCTGTGGCTGCCCTAGAAATCCCCAACACCTTCTCTGCCAGTTTCCTACACAGCTTCTGTTTCCCTTTTATCGAGTGCTTGTCATTCTGTTATCTGCCTCCAGGTTGTTCTTTACCACTTTAACCTCTTGTGTGGTGGGGCGGAAAGGGAGCGAGGAGATGGCAAGAGCCCTTTTTTATTTTTCATACCAAAATGTAGGCACAGCGGGATGCCTGGCGATACAAAATGAGGTCTCCTTTGCCTTTGCGTTTCTCTAAGGAAGTGTCTGCTGCTTTGATGATTGGCAGATAGCAGCCTCTAAGGTGGTTACATGGGGCAAGTAGGTTTCAGTTAGTGCTGTCTGTAGGCCTATAGGGATTCAGTGTACTGGAAGTCTGCATTGCAAGAGAAGCTACAGTTAGCTTGGATTTTCCACTGGAGGGCCCATCGATGGTGTCTGGGAAGGGGCCAGCCCTTTCATTAGGCACAGTGAGCTTACTGCCTGTGTATGCCACACTGCCTTCCTTGCACCACCTAAGTTAGTCTGCTCCCCCCAGGTGCAGTGCAGCATGCCGTCCCATTGCCAGTGTGGTGTAGTGGTTAAGAGCAATAGATTCATAATCTGGGGAACCGGGTTCGCATCTCCGCTCCTCCACATGCAGCTGCTGGGTGACCTTGGGCCAGTCACACTTCTTTGAAGTCTCTCAGCCCCACTCACCTGACAGAGTGTTTGTTGTGGGGGAGGAAGGGAAAGGAGAATGTTATCCACTTTGAGACTCCTTCGGGTGGTGATAAAGTGGGATATCAAATCCAAACTCTACTTCTTCTTCACCTCCCTTGAAGCTGTAGCTGAGTGGTAGAGCATCTGCTTTGCATGCAGAAGGCCCCAGGTTCTATCCTCAGTGGTAACTCCAGATAGGGCTGGGGTACACAGTCTGTCTGAAACTCTAGAGGGCTACTGCCAGTCAGTGTAGGCCAGTGTTTCCCAAACATGGGTCTCCAGCTGTTTGTGGACTACAACTCCCATCATCCCTAGCTAGCAGGACCAGTGGTCAAGGATGATGGGAGTTGTAGTCCAAAAGCAGCTTGAGACCCAAGTTTGGGAAACACTGGTGTAGACAATACAAAACTAGATGTATCAATAGAATGACTTGGTATAAGGCAGTTTCTTGTGTTCCTGTGTACAAGTCTGGTCAGTACATGGGACCTGTGTACAAGTCTGTGTACAGCTACAGTACATGGGATTTGGGGTGGGGCGTGAATTGGTGCCATTTTGTCCTTATCCGCAGATGAGAAAAGTGTATTGGTCCTGAGAATGAATCAGTAGGAGCCTAGCTTTGAACAAGCAGACACTCTGAAATCATGAGGACCTGCACACCCTTTTTTTTGTTTTTGCAGACTGGATTCCCATCAGTGGCTAATTAAATTAGCAATTGGCTCTTCCAAGCTCTCTGGATTGCCAGCCAGGTTGGAGTTGTGCTCAGTTTCCTTGCTTGGGGAGCCTGCATGTGACCGGAAACAGGGAAGGTGCAGGAGATAGGCTTGAGTCTGGAGAGAGGAGAGGGAAGGAGTTTTGAAACTGGATGGTGAGAAACTACACCCAGCGCAGCTATATAGGCACCCTATTGCTTTTTTTGCCGGGGTGGGGGGTGGGGAGTCTGGTGCAGCTTCTTTAGAACTAGTGTCACCTGCTGGGTATCTATGTGCTTCCCAGCTGCTTTCTCTGTACATTTTCTAAGGTGGTCCGGATATAAATGTGTGTCCGTGTGTGTGTGTCGGGGGGACATAAATATAAATAGATAGATACATAGATGTGCAGATTGTATTGCAGATTTGTAGTGCAATGCCTTCTCTGAAGTCAAGCAAGATCCACCCCCACCCCCATCATCATCAAATCTTCTGATCAAATCTTTGACAAAAGCTCAACTTTATTATTACTTTTTAACAGTTGAGAACTGCAGGTGGTACTTGGAAGTGGCAAAAAGTGTGTGTGTGTGTGTGTGTGTGTGTGTGTGTGTGTGTTAAATGGGGCAACCCACCTCTTATTTCCCTTGAAAGTGGCTGGACCCCCCCCCCCACAGCAACAAATAAGTTATGACACTTGAACTGAGTTTCTTCCACTTATGCAGATAACAATTCTAGATAAGGCATGGGCCACAGCAATCGCAGAGTGTGATCCATATTATGTGTCCATTTTTAAAAATAAAGGATATCTGTAGATGTGTATATATTTGCAGGGTACAGAAATATTTACTTAGCACAAACGCAGCTCTGCAGCTACTCACTGGGAGCTTGCATATCCCAACTGCCTTTCCTGCGCCATCAATTTCCCAATTCGCTTTGCAATGCAAAGAGGTGGGGAGTGCCTGAGGACAAGTGTTGTGAAAGCCGGTGCCCGGATCACAGATTGCTGCAAGCATGAAAATGCATTCATATGAGTTTGGGATATAATGCCTGACACAAGATGTACCGCTCCTGCCACGCTCCAATCCCAGATAAGAACCCAGCAGTAACAGATGGAGGAACAAGGCACTTATCTTGTTAGCTGATGGATTTATCTTCTTTTCTCCCTCCCCATCCACCCCCAACCCCCCTGGCCCTCTCCCTACATATTCCATAACATTTAGTGAGCTTTGCTTCTTAACCAACGCAACATATGGAGAGAGCAAGGACTGGTTCCTTTCTCTCCTCTCCCCCATCCCACCCGTCTCCCTAAATTCAATAAGGGCTGGAGTGACAGAGGAACAGCTTGTGGTGCTAAGGAAATTCCAAAACAGTCAATAAAATGTTATGCTGCACAGGGGTATGTCAATCCTTCCCCTCTGCTTAAGAAGACATCCACACCATCACATGAAGCAGTGGGGTAGGAAAAGAGTATCATTTAACTTGTCCCTGTGGGTCAGCACTGACCAAGGTTTTTGGACTGGTTTGTGGATAACTGTTGGCTTGAGGAACTTCTCAGAAGAGAATGGCTGCTGTCAACCTGAAAGAGCATTGATTGATTGACTGGACTTATATGAAGCTTTTTGAGGCAAAGGCTTCACAAAGCAGCATACACGCACAGCCTTAGTAAGCAGTAGCATTGTCTAAGCATCCCCACATAATTTGTTCAAACAAATAAGGATGTGTGCTCACTGATCCTCCAAGTGTCCCTATTTTCCAGAGACAGTCCTGGATTTATAGAAGCTGTCCCAGATTCTGATTTGTTCCTGGAATGTCCCAGTTTTTCTTAGGATGTCCCTATTTTCATTGGAGAAATGTTGAGTGTATGGAATTTTGTTGTTGTTTAGTTGTTTAGTCGTGTCCGACTCTTCGTGACCCCATGGACCAGAGCACGCCAGGCACTCCTGTCTTCCACTGCCTCCTGCAGTTTGGTCAAACTCATGCTGGTAGCTTCGAGAACACTGCCCAACCATCTCGTCCTCTGGTGTTCCCTTCTCCTTGTGCCCTCCATCTTTCCCAACATCAGGGTCTTTTCCAGGGAGTCTTCTCTTCTCATGAGGTGGCCAAAGTATTGGAGCCTCAGCTTCAGGATTTGTCCTTCCAGTGAGCACTCAGGGCTGATTTCCTTAAGAATGGATAGGTTTGATCTTCTTGCAGTCCATGGGACTCTCAAGAGCCTCTCAAGAGTGTATGGAATAGGATGTCCCTATTTTTGGGAGAGAAATATTAGAGGCGGCATCTCTATTTTCATGGGATAAATGTTGGAGGGTGTGTGCTGCCTTGCCCTGCTGCTGCTCCCACCATCACCTATCGACTCCTACCGTCATTGCCTGTTCTGCAGCCACTATGCACCTTGCCACCTCCGCCACTGGTGGAGAAGCAGCACCTCCATCAGCACCAAATTCAGGCAAGATCTCCCCCCCCCCCATGGACACAATCTTGCCTACAATTTGTGTTGGTGACAGTGGCACTTCTCTGCCAATTGTGGAGGTGGCAGGCAGGCATGGGACCCCTAGGCATGCCACCTGTGGGGGCTTCTGCTACCTGAGTCAGTGGTCTCACCCTTCCTACTGGCTGTGCCGGCTCTGTGTTCAATGGCTAGCTGGTGTGGAAGTGGCCTAAAACTGGAGCCACCAGTTCATGGAAATGGTTGTTGCTCTGTTAAATGGCATTTGGTGGGTTCCACGCTGCCATCAGCCATTGTTGTAGCCTGAAGGGCTTGCTGCCAGAGGCTGAGTGACAGCGACAGCAGCCTCACAGGGAAGCAGAAGTAAGAGGAGCCAAGCAGATAAAAGTGGGCAATGGGAGTCTGGTGCAGAACTTTGCAGGGATTTGCAGCAGCCTAGTACATCCTTCCCCTCTCACCGCAAGACTACGTTGCATGGTCTGTAGTAGTAGCAGCAGAGGGTTTTATTTTTATTTTTGCAGTTTTGATTTTTGAAGCCAATGCCAGCTTCGAACCCATCAGGTTGAATGTGCTTCTCTCCATAGAGACACAAATGAGGTACCAAATTAAAGCACACAGCATGTAAAGTTGCAGGAAATAATCGCTTTAGGAGTTGGTCCCCTAATCTGATGCAGAAGACAAAAATAAAAATGTGAAGGAAAGCACGTAGGCTGCAGGGTTCAAACTCGACGATGGGTTTTTCCCAGGAGAGAGTTCGGGTTTTGGTTGATTAAAAAGCCTCCCACAGATGCACGTATGCACACCCATGCTGGTTCAGCTGCTGAGATGCAATAGAATACCATTGGGAAAAAATTCTGAACATTTGGAACAGTTCAAGCACCTGTTACTATGCTTGTTAGGGACAGATGGGGGCGTTGGTTGGAATAGGTGTTGGTAGGAAGGGGAGAAGAGAAGTGAGGGGACAATGCCATCAATGGTGATCATTTGGTTGGCTGAGTAGCATAAATGGAATATGGGGTTGTGTGAGTGTAAGAGAGAATGACTGGGAAATGCTGTTGAATTCGTGTGTGGGCATGTGGATCATGCCATTATCTAGTTCAGTCACTAGGTGGCACTGGACTTAATTGTAGCTGATTGGCATCGGGAATTTCTTGTTGCTCCTTTCTTTATGAGAAGAGACAAAGAGAGAGAGAGAGAGAGAGAGCGAGAGAGCGCCAGCCACATGGCACCCTCCAGAAGATGTGGAGTGCAATTTCTGTGAGCCCCAGCCAGCAAGGTAAATAGCTATAGATGATGTCCACAATGTCTGAAGGGCACCACATTTTCTGCATAAGAACATAGAAAGAGTCTGCTGGTTCAGGCCAATGGCCCATCTAGTCCAGCAATCAGATCTCACCACCAGCTGCCAACCAGGTGCCTGTGGGAGCCCACAACCACAAGAGCACGCTCCCTTCATGTAGTTTCCAGCAACTGGTACTCAGAAGCATTACTGACTCCAGCTGTGGAAGCAGAGCAGAGCCATCATGGCCAGAAGCCATGAATAGTCCTCCACACCATAATGTTATCCAATCTACTTCTGCAGCCATCTAAGTTGGTGGCCATCACTGCCTTCTGTGGGAGTTCTATAGTCTAGCTATGTTCTGTGTGAAAAAGAATTTTATTTTATCTGTTCTGAATCAGTAAAGTTTCCTCGCTGGCTTCCTTGACTGGTGAGCCATACAAGCCTTCTGTGTTTAAACCTCCTGTAAAATCTCTTTTGGGTTTAGAGCCAGCATGAGCATTTGGGGCAGGACCACCAGGATTTGATGGGGCTGATATAATATGGCAACATAGGAAGCTGCCTTACACTGAGTCAGATGACTGGTCTGTCAAGCTCAGAACCCTATGCACTGACTCTCCAAGGTGTCAGGCAGGGATCATTCCCAGCCCTACCTGGAGACACCAGGGATTGAACTGGTGTCCTTCTTCATGCAAAGCAGATGCTGTACTACTGTGCTCCTGCCCTTCCCCTAATGTGTGCAGTCACAAATATGGGATTTAATGTTGGCTTAGGAGAGTACCTCT